CTATGAATATTAAAAATTTATATTTAAAAACCAACTAATTATCCCCTCTTCTTTCCCATAACAATAGCAATAAACAAATTTCACAGGTCAGTAAGTTTAAATGCGCAAAGTCTAGATAATTGTATCGTTAAAACACAATCTAAAATCAGTAGTATCTTGTAATTTGACTTTTTGAATAAAGATAAAGAATTAAGTGCCCTACGTGTAAAATCTTCTTGAAAGCATTGTTAATATTTTATTGCTGGAAGTTGTAAGACGAAAAAGTATCTAAAAAAAGACAGCTCACCGTGCGATTTGACCACCGACTCGTCACATCCTGCCTCAGTACAATCTGCCTTAAACTTCAAACAATCCTCCATGCTCTGTACTTAATACTCTACACTATATATAATAGCATTGCTAAGATATATAAATAAGCAGTTACATACTAATCTACTGTATGCTAAGACGGTTTATTTCTCCGAGTGCAACGAACCACTTTACCCATCATCCTCGCTAACGACAGATTGTTTGTACCTTCTCGCAAAACTCCGCCTCCTTATTCTCACCACCAGTCATCATTTTGTTAACCTCTAACAGTTTGTTAGGATCGCTCTTCATAATATAACAACATAACACTCTACTCTTGTGCCTTTTACAGGGAAAAATTAAGTAACAACAAACAATTTCTCTTAATTTCATTTGTTTATATGTACTGGCTACTTTATATCTAATCTTTTAGTTGTCTGCTCTCGTTACAGATAATAAAGTGCAGCAGCTATTTAATAACCTTCGTCCATTGTCTCTAGTTCAAATTGCGCGATTGTTAAAGTAATAATAGTTATAAATTTTAAATGATTGCTATGATTTTTAATAATTTTCTGCTAAAAGATCATCTTAATAATTTTTATTACCGTCAAAAGTTTAATTAAATTTGAACTTTAATCAAAAATAAAATTTTTTTATCTATAAAAAAATATTTAATGATTTTTTAATTTTATTAAATGTCAAATTTTGGCAAACAAATTAAAAAATTGCATCAGTTTTAAATTTTTGATCAAAAATTTTTAATTTTTTTTAAATTAAATTAGTATTTATTTTATTAGAAGAAAAATAGATGGAGCTTTACTTAAATATAATTCCCAAATATTTAATAAATAATTCTAAAACTTATATGTAAAAACTAAAACTTGTTTTTGTAAAACATATACAATATACGAGGGACGTTATTTTAACGATGAACTATATAACGATTGGTAAAATACGAGGTGATAATACTGTAAATGGTAACGTTGAGTAAAAGACGGGATAATATGAAGGGAAATTTAAGTAAAGTACGTTTTAAAACTCCCAGTCAATTTGAAGCATTACAACTATAAGACAGACGTTTACAGCCTCATCCAATTATTGAACTCGTACTTAAATAATATTTGCATCCTTTCATACTCATACATTTATACTTTATATATTATTTTTGTATTTAATGGGGACGAAAAGTATTAACAGATACTTTCCGATGAATTTTCAATATTAAGGGTATATATTATATGTACAAAGTAATGACGGACTTGTGCGTAATTTGCGGAGTTGGATTATCAGTTTCTCACGTGTAGTGAGAAGTGCAATTGGATTGATTTAAACAAATTAATATTGATGTCTGGTGTAAATTATCGGTAGCGGACGCATAAATAATTGAAATAATGACAGCGATAGGACAATACCTGGAATAACCGAGGTCAATTCTGTCAAGATATCTATTAGCCTACGGGTTATGAATAAAAGAATAAAAGATACTCATTTAAAAGCGGGTGAATTTTTTTTCATTAATTTAAAAGTTGTTCAAGGCGAGACTCTAATTGTCAATTACCAATATTATTTTTAAATTAATTAATTCCGCTAATAATTTGCCCCCCACCCTTAAATCATTCCTTTGATAGCTCGGCAGTAAAAAATTTAATTTTTCTAATGCAAAAAATGAATTTATCTTTATAATTAATTTTTTTCAGCAAAATTACATTCATAAATGTATTTATAAAGACAAATGTACACACATGTGAGCAAAGTAAAGTGAGTGTAAGTCGCTAAGGCGGTCTTGAAGCTCTTGTAGTTGGTGTAGTGGTCAGTGATGCATGTGAAAACAGCGCTTATGTCTTACGATATGAATCAGTGTGAGTGACCAGTAGTATTAACATCGCCGGGTAACCATCACACCCCCTTTGCCGCTGCTTCGGTACAGCAATACACACACGTATTATATTATACATACATTGTACATCCATACGTGTTAAATGTGTGTATGTATACGGGACGCGGAATAGCCGGCAATTTGCGGGTTTACGAGTTATTTCACAATGGCTGCAAAGTATAGTGGTACATCATGCAGTATTACCGGCATTGGTGGATATATCTACGTACATATAGATTTACAATGGTGGTGTTGGTATATTACTTTGTAGACACAGACACAAATATATTGTCAGCCTCTGTATTTTAATGCACACTATCTACCAACTTTTATTTTATCGCTCGGAGAAAAAATATATAATTTTTAGTGGTGGTGTAGATGGATAAGAGGTTCATATCCCAGCCCACGGCTCAACCTGGTACCCTATTTCAAGACAATAACCAACTGACCATAAACCTGTCTAAGGTGTACTCCTTTTTACTTTTAAGTATACTTCTACTTCTACTTCTACTTGAATTTGTTTGGTGCTGGGTCTAGAGCTTGCTTTTACCGAGAAACTCTACTTCCGGGCCAGAGATAACCCATCAGATCAATCCGGTGATCTTGTAGTCGATGATTAACCAACAACCCTACGACTATAATGTATTTAAATGTCTACTTGATAACTATCTGGCTACTGAAAAATACTAATATCTTCTTTATAGTTATATATGGTACAGGAAAATATTTAAAATTTTATTAAGTGTAAATTTGAATTTTTTTTATATTTCTTGGTAAAAGATAAAATTTTATTTTTTGATATTTTATATGATAAAATGGGTTTTTGTGGTTAAATTTGTTATCGTTGGAAAAGTCTAGACTTGGAGTTGTGCCTTTTCATGGTTTCATATTATTCCTTGCGTTAGTTAATTTATAATGATAAGTATTTAGGCTGCATTCGAAAATGCTCTATCTCTAGATACATAATTAAGAAATGACCTTGTATCTCGTGAACGGTTGACATTTTTAAAAATATAAGCTCATCCCGATGTTACACTCATCAAGACCTTTCATTTGAGTACCCACATCAATTTCTCATATATTTATATATATTATATATATGAATATATGAAAAATATATCAAAAT